ACCTCTCAAATAAGTAAATAAATAAATCTTAAAAACAACAACAACATAAGACATAAGACATCCACCTAATGCGACAATGCTAAAAAAATTGACTTAGACCAAATGACAAATATTAAAAAAAAAAAAAAAGATCCTGCCTAGATAGAGGTTAAACTCTAGAAGGGTATCTTAATGAACTCATCTCTTGTCTAAATCCAATTCCGGAAAACCATCTGAGATTACTTGATCCACAGGAAAATTAGCTGTAATTCCTAGGACCAAGATACGAACTTGAGGAAACCAAGTGTGCCAGAAAACCACGGAGGATGGTGGGGGTGGTGGGGGTGGTGGGGGTGGGGGTGGGGGTGTGTTGCAGACCAAACCTGCGAGGCAAGATCACCTCTGGCTGCTCTGCCCCGGCTCACTCTCCCTGCAGCCCTCCCTCCTCTGCGCTGGCTCCACTGTGCTGTGGCTGTGGCAGCCACTATCCCGTGCGGGCACTTCCCACACAGCCAGGCTGAACTGAGATGCGCCTTGCCAAATGCAAAACACAGTGTAAAAAGAGGGTCAAATATCTCACAAATTTTTTGAATTTTTTAATTCAAGAGGCAGAGAGAAAAAAACCAGACAGAGCTCCCATGTGCTGATTCACTCCATCCAGGTGCCCCCATGGGTAGCAGGGACCCAACCACCTGAGCCATCACCCACTGCTCCCAGAGTGCACATTACCGGGAGCAGAGCTGGGACTAAACCAGGCACTCCAGAACGGAAAGTGGGTGCGCCCAACTGCAGCCTAACCACAAGGCCAAAGGCCCACCTTCATTCACATATTTCAAACTTAACTATGTGCTGAAATTACACAAATTTGGATATATCAAATCAAGTTTAGGATATTAAAATTAATTTCACTGGTTCCTGTGTATTTTAAAATGTGTCTTCTAGAAAATACAAAATCGGGGCCACTGCTGTGGCTTAGTAGGCTAAGCCTCTGCCTGTTGACACTGGCATCCCACATGGATGCTGGTTTTGTCCCTGCTGCTCCACTTCCCATCCAGCTCTCTGCCTATGGCTTGGGAAAGCAGTAGAAGATGGCCCAAGTGCTTGGGCCCCTGAGCCCATGTGGGAGACCTGGAAGAAGCTCCTGACTCCTGGCTTCAGAACAGCCCAGCTCTGGCTGCTGCAGCCATTTGGGTAGCAAACTACTGGATGAAGACCATTCTATCTCTCCCTCACTCTGTAACTCTCTCTCAAATAAATAAAATCTAAAAAAAGTACAAAATCATTTATGTGGCTTGTGTTGTACCTTCTGTTGGAGAACACTGCTTTAGAGTCTAACTTTAGAATAAGATGTGTTCAGGGCTGGCAATGTGATGCGAGTTAAGACCACCACCTGTGATGCCAGCATCCCATATCAGAGTGCTGGTTCAAGTCCCAGCTGCTCTGCTAACTGTCTGCTAATGCGCCTGGGAAGGCAGTGAAAAAGATGGCCCAAGCACTTGGGCCCCTGCCCCCCACCCATGTGGGAGAACAGGATGGAGTTCCTGGCTTCAGTGTGCCATCTGAGGAGTGAACGGGGGGTTGGAAGATCTCTCCCTGTGTGCCACTCCACTCTCAAATTAATAAATCTTTAAAACAAAGAATAAGATGTGTTCCTGCTGTTTAATCTTGCAACAACTGAGTACTCCAAGGACCCAAGCTGCACACTATTTTTTTTTTCTTAATTTCTATTTCATCTACTTGAAAGAGGGGTAGAGAGAGAAGTCTTCCATCCACTGTTCACTACAAAAGCCAGGGCTGGGCCAGGGTGAAGCCAGGAGCCAAGAACTCCATCTGGATCTCCCACACGGGTGGCAGGGACCCAAGTACTTGAGTCACCAGCCGATGCCTTCCCAGGGGTATTAGCAGGAGGCTGGATAGGAAGTGGAACAGGTAGGCCTGGCAGTGGAGCTTCTGGCAATGCGGAATGCACTCCAATATGGGATGCAGAGGAGTCCCAAGCAGCAGCTTAACCTGTGCCACAAAGCCTGTAGCAAGCAGACTCCCTGAGCACACAGCAGTAGCAAACCAGAGAGAGCTGATTTCCAACGCCCAGATCTTCAAGCTGTGAAGTACCCAAAAGGAACTAATTCTTCAGCAGAAACCAGCCCCAGAATGTAGATGAACCCCAGGCCTGAGAGCCTGGGAACTTTGTAAATCCCATCTTGAAACAATGTGTATCATTTTGCCTGGAGCTTCTTCAAAGGGTCTCCAAGTGAGAGGTAATCCACACATCTCTTTATCTTAACCCATTAAGTCCCAAGTTTTCAATTCTGCGAATTTTTTTTAAATATTCATTTATCTGTTTTTTTGAAAGTCAGAGATACACAGAGAGAAGGGGAGACTGATTTCCTGTCTGCTGGTTCACTCCCCAAGTGGCTGCATGGCCAAGGCTGGGCCAAGCCCAAGCCAGAAGCTTCTTCCGGGTCTCCTTCATGGGTGCAGGGGCCCAAGCACTTGGGCCATCATCTGCTGCCTTCCCAAGCGCATTAGCGGGGAGCTGGATCAGAAGTGGAACAGCCATGACTTGAACCAGTGCCCATAGGGGATGCCAGCTCTGCAGGCAGAGGCTTAACCTCACATGCCACTGTGCTGGCCCCGATTCTGTGCATATTTCAACAAAGCTGACACAGGTACAAAGTCACCATAAGTGCAATATTTATTGCTCAATTTAAGTTTTCATAGGTGTCCTAGGTATAAGACAATGAGACTTAACGGGTTAACATAAAGGGCCAGGCAGGGGCATGGTGAGGAGCCCTGCCCTAGAAATCAAACAGGGTGAAGTCTCATGGGGCACCCACCGTCTCCAGGCCTTTTATTGCTTCTTCCTTCCGGTTTTCACACAACACTAAATGATGCCACTTTAGAAGGAAGAGCAGGTTAGTCCCCAGGAGCAGAAAGAGACCTCCACCCATCTCAGGAGAGCGGGTGGGGACGACGTCCTTGCAAGCACGGCAGTGGCGCCCTGCTGCGGACCTGCCTCTGAAGGAGGCTTTACACAGTGCTCCACTGACTCTCACCACCAGGCAAGCAAGTTCTATCCATCCCACTTCCCCCACGAGGAGAAAGACACAGAGAGGAGGCTGTGACTCTCCCCAGTCAGACCCCCTACTCAAACCCACCCTGCACACCGCTCTCACCGCCGCCACCCACGGGAAAAGCGGGATGTTTACTCTCTTACCTCGGATAAGACAGCAAGGCTCCGCTCCCAACAGAAACACCAGACAACGGGACAGATTCACCGTCACCGGCCCCCGCCACCAGATTTTATTCTGCCACTCAAGGGCACTCTCACCAAAGGCCAGTTAGAAAGGGCAGCACTCCGCAGAGCCTCCAGGCCAGCTGGCTAAAGCCGGCGGAAAGGAACACAGGAGATAAAGCAGGGGTGGCAGGGGACGGCAGCCAAGCCCCGGAAAGACACTCAAACTCAGTATCTAAGAGCTCCTTCTCCCACCCGGCCACAGGTCAGCTGCCAATCCGATGACAGCTTCAGCAAGCACCTCACTCGCACGTGCGGCGCGTAGCTTTACAGCCAAGGGCGGTATTAGCCATTTGGCTCTTGAGCACCAAGTTCAAGCGTCTGAGTCAGCTCACGGAGGCTAGGGAAGCCCAGGCCCACACCAGGTGAAAACAGATACAACACCTCAAAGGAAGGAGCAGCTACCCATCCTGCAGTACTCAGCTAGTTAACTACCCAGGGAGCAGCAAGTGCGAACCGTCCCAACAGAACCGTTCCTGAGAGTGGGGGCGGGACGGGGTCCACTCCACGCTGCACTCCGGGAGGAGAATAACTAGCACCTTCAGGAGTCTCCAATAACCAAGGTCAAAAGGCACCGCAGGAGCCCTCTACCCCTATCTCAGAGCCTTTCCAAAGGGGGCTGGAGGACTTGGGCCCACAGGCCGACAGGCTGCCTCACGGCGAGCTGGACCACTGGGCAGCAGATGGAACTGGCGGCCGCAGCCAAGGTCAGGGCCCGAGGGCCGAGGATCTGGTTCCCAAGGTCGATGACAGCACTGACCTCTCCGGCTTCCAGCATCAACTGCCCTTTCACACAACCTCACGTAGCCACCCCGCCCCCCACGAATGCAACTGTCACTGTACATGTTTATTATTCCTTCCAGAAAGGAATGACTGTTATTTCCTGCGTTCCTTTTACAAGGGAAAGCCGCACTGCTAGGGACATGTTGAGGTATCTTAGCCTCAGCGGACAAGAGTCTTCACCTACGTACAGACTGCTGTTAGATGTGTTCCGCATTCCAGGGTGACCGTCTCTAACCTTAAGCCCACCACCATCGTGCTGCAGACTGGATGTTCAGGAGAGGCTGCCGGCAGAGGCTAACAGGCAGAAGCCCCTTGGAAGAGAGACCTCTGGGGTGCATTGGCCACAGGCTTACATAGCTAAATTCAACCTTCTCCTAGGAAACCAGTAAGTCAGTAGTTGTTCTCAAAGAAACAAATTTCTACTCCTGTGGGGAAAGCGTGCAGGAAAGAGCCCCTACCCCCGTGGAGGCCAGCTTCCAGATATAGCCAGAAACTGGTGCTGGCTGCACGGGCCCACGTGGCAGAGGTGGAAACTGGACGGAAGGACTGGCCACGAGACCGTCTCTGCGTCATCAGATGGACACAGGAGCCTTTCCCCGTACAGGATTTCACCGAAAGCTTTAGAAAGACGGACTCATTCTCTTCTGTCACAGAAGACAAAACAAGAAACTCTGACTGCCTGAGTTTCCAGCTCATGGCAACCATGGCAGCTCTCTGGGACACCAGAGCATGCTGGGAACAGGCCCGCACGCAGCCTGGGCGCAGAGCTGAGAAGTCACTACTGAAAAGCTCATTATCCTCGCTCTTTGAAATCACAGTAAAACAGATCCTTGTCCCAGGGACACAGTGCTCAGCAGGACCGTGCACAAGCTGGCCGAAGGCCGCAGAGAGAGCAGCAGTCCCCAGGGATGGACGAGCCGGGGCCCCTTCCGGCGTGGAGTACCTGTGCTTTCCGCGATTCCACACCACTCCAGCCGAGGGCACAAATTCCACAAGGACAGCGGCCACAGGATGCACTGCAGACCCCAAAGGGAGGTGGCAGTCAGCTTTGGGGAGGAAGGCTCTTCTCAAAAGAAACAAAGTCAATCAGAGTTCTCATTTCCTTATTTAAAATCTACCTCTGTCACTCCTTTGCTAAAAGAATAAACAAGCCAACCCCAGATAAACAAAAAAAAGAGCATTCAAAGCTGGGCTCCGCTTTCAGGACAAAGTTCAAGCTTCGAAGACCAAGCGCAGGAGGCCCTTCCCAGCGTGGCCCCTGCATGCCCTCCACTCAGCCCTGCCAACCCCTCCTCTGAGCAGGAGGCAATCCTTGTAGCATCACACCTCTCTCTGCACCTGCATGCCCCGCGCTCTAGCACCCACCCTCTCGGACTTGTTTGGATCAGCCAGTCCTTGAAATCTTAACTTGGGCAACCTCTCAACACCTTCTCTGATCCCAGCCGTGTTTGCCTCTTCTCCACAGTGTTGCCCCACCAGTCTGACTCCTTCACTGGCCTGGGCCTCAATGCCTAGCACACAATTGGTGCCCAAAGTTCACTAACACCTTCCTAGGGCCTTACACACCACCCAGCATCACAGGGTTGTGTTTGGAAGATTGGCTCATGTGAGTAGAAAGTAAATACAAAACTGAATTCTTGGGGCAGGCGCTATGGTGCAGAGGGTTAACGCCCTGGCCTGAAGCACCAGCATCCAATATGGATGGCGGTTCGAGTCCCAGCTGCTGCTCTTCTGATACAGCTCTTTACATGTGGGAGACACGGAAGAGGCTCCTGGCTCCAGATCGGCACAGCTCCGGCCATTGCAGCCAATTGGAGAGTGAACCATCGGATGGAAGACCTCTCTCTCTCTCTCTCTCTGCCTCTCCTCTCTCTGTGTAACTCTTTCAAATAAATAAATAAATCTTTAAAAAAAAAAAACTGAATTCTTGGGGCCAGTGTTATGGTGCTGCCATCCCTTACGGGCACTGGTTCTAGTCCTGGCTGCTCCACTTCTGATCTAGCTCCCTACTATTGCCTGGGAAAGCAGTGGAGGATGGCCCAAGTGTTTGGGCCCGTGTACCCACGTGGGAGACCCGGAAGAAGTTCCTGGCCCCTGGCTTTTGATTGGCCAGCTCGGCCATTGCGGCCATTTGGGGAGTGAACCAGTGGACAAGAAGACCCCTCTCTCTGCCTCTTCTTCTCCGTATCTATAACTCTCAAATAAATAGATCTTAAAAAAAAAAGAAAAAGAAAGAAAGAAAAACTGAATTCTTGGGGCCAGTGCTTGGTGTAGTAGGTTAAGCCTCCACGGGCAGTATCCCATACAGGTGCCAGTTTGAGTCTTGGCTACTCCACTTTTGATCCAGTGCCCTGCTAATGCACCTGGGAAAAGCAGTGGAAGAAGGCCCAAGTGCTTGGGCCCCTGTCCTCATGTGGGAGACCAGGAAGAAGCTCTTCACTCTGGCTCTGGCCTGGCTCAGCCCAGGCCATTATGGCCATTTAGGGAGCGAAACAGAAGATGGAAGATATCTCTCCCTCCACCCCACACCCTCTCTTTGGATCTCTGCCTTTCAAATAAATAAAATCTTAAAACAAAACAAAACACTGAATTCTTAGTCCAGAAGACCAACCATCCTTTAACTTAGGACGCACTTTCTCCCCATCAGCTATGTGACTTGATCTTGAGAAAAAGAACAAAGCGACACTTTTGAGAGGCAGTGGAGTCAGGGGTGGCCCAGGCTTTGCAAACAGTCATCAGCCCAGGTCCACACGTGCGTCACCTGCCTCTCCAGCAGGGCAAGCGCATCACCAGTGGCCGGCCTGGGCCGCCTTTCATCTGAGGACAACTGGTGAACACACACCAGCTCTACACTAGCCAACACTGATCAGACTGGAGCTGACACTTTCTGGAGCAAAAAGATGTCTCCAAACACAAAAGGCTCCATCTGTCCCTTGAGATTTGCTTACGATAAAGGACACAACTTAAGGCTAAGCCAACATTAGCACAATTCTTTATTTTTCTCTCTCCCAAAGGCAGGATATTTTAAAAGAACTATCTCCTTGGTGAAATGCAAATCACCGTTCCTGAACTGTCCCTTGACTGTGGATGTTAACCCCTTGGGAGCAAACAGGAAAAAGAATAATTTTATAGTTGATTGTTTACTGTACTAGCTAATGCCAAAACCAGCCTATTTAGATTATTTGAAGTATCTTTCAAAGTCAGTTTTTTCCTGAATAACATGACTCAACACCGGGCATTCTGAAGAAACACAGGAAACAAGGACCTCAGAAGCCTGCTGGGAGAGCTGGAGGGGAGGGATCACTTTTTGAATCAAGCAACCCCCATCCGCCAGTCTTTTCTCCACGAGATTTGGCTTGGAGGTGGAAGTGGGCGACCCTTGAGTTGCCCGCATTTGAGAGACCATAAAACTGGCTGACACGTGGAGTCACTTCCTCCCTTCCCCTCTGGGCCCCTCCTCCAAAAGTGTGCATATCTGCAAGATTCTTTGTGAAATTTGAAAGGAAATCAAATCTAAGGCTTCAAATATGAGCCCAAAGCAAGTGTATTAACAACGAAAGCTAATGCCCAATTCCGAAGTCTGCCCCCAGGTTTCCAGGTAGGGAGTCAGCTTCCCACGGACTCTCGGTGTGACCCTCCGCAAGACGGCTCCCATCTATAAAGGGAGGGCAGTGCCTCAACAAGTTGTTCCCAGGATTCAATTAAATACGACACATAAGGGAACCTGAATCAGGCAGTGCCACTCCGTTCTCCGCCCCAGCACGTCCCAAGGACGGCAGCGGCATACTGGACCAACACCAGAAAGACCCCGGCTGCATCTGGCTGCATCTGGCTGCACGGGCGCCGGCGTGGCTGATCTCTGCGCAGCCTTCCCATTCTAACACGAAAGCGAACCCGCGCCTGCGTCGCGCCTCCGTCCTGTTCCTTTCATTTCTCTCTCTCTTTGGCACGAGACTCTCCTGTTCCTCTGAAACCAGTAAGGAAAACCAAGAAAGGGCGAAGATACCCAAGAAACCTATGTGGGTCACAAACCGTGGGCCACGCTTTTTCGGCAGGGGCGGCCCGCGGGGCGTCGGGTGACTTAGCCCCCCTGGCACAGGGCCCAGCACCCCGCGGCCCCGGCGCTGTCTGGACGCACACGACACCTGCCCCTCCCGCGGAAAGCTCTAACTTCGCCCCAAGCCACAAGTCCAGGAGCCGGTCCTCCCCTGCGCGAAGTGGAAAAACATAAACGACCGTGACAGAAACGCTGAACCAGCGGAAAAAACCTTGAAGCCAAGTTTCGACATTCCGGCGGACAGGCGGGCAGGCGCCCACCGCCGCCCGGGCACCCACACGGACCTCCACGGTGGGCGTCCCCGAGGCAGCACCGCAGCCACCAGCGCGAGCGCACGCAGAGGTCTCGCGCCCACTCTCCCGGCGTCAGCCTCGGACCAGACCCGACACCAGCCCAACAGCACTGCATCCACCTTCCCTGCCGCTCCCGGAGGCGAACAGGAACTCCAAAATAGGTCGAACGGCCGCCTTCCCCCCTCCCCTCCCGGGAAGGCGGCCCCTTCCCACCTCGCACCCCTCCCCAACCCCGGCCGGGGGTCCCCGGGACAGGGGCTGCCCGCAGGGCCCCCGGGGATCCGCCGTGCGCGGACTCCGAGCAAAAGCGAAAGAGAAAAAGCCCAGACTCGCCCACCGTGGCGGGGGATTTCAGCAGTGTGGCGCGGATCCGAGAGGACCCGGTTTCCCGCCCCCAGCCCCCGGCTGCGCCCCCGGCCGCCTCCAGGTCTGGCCAGGCCGCCCACCCCAACATGGGAGCCCCTCCTCGTCAGAGCACATGAACTTTAAAATGGTGCCCCGGCCGCGGGGGGGCCCGACGGGAAAGCACGGGCCCCCGGGGCCCAGGGCGGGCGAGCGGGCGCGGGGGCCACGAAAGCAGGCCCCGGTGCCGGGTGGGGCTCCCCGGGTGACGCGCACGCTGGGGGCTGGGGCGGAGGCAGGCGCACCGGGCAAAGGTGAGGGAGGAATTGGAACGCGGCCCCTTTAAGAGGCCTTCGCGGCGCTCAGGAACCGGGGGCCTCTCCTCCACCCCCGGCCCGGCGCAGGGGGCCCTTCCTGGGGGAGAATCATCCCCAGACCCACTCCCCGGAGGCTTCCCTCACGCCAGGTCCCGCCCGGCCCTGCCCCGGGGCGGCGGCTCCTCCTTACCCCGCTGTCTGCCGCCTCCTCCCAGCTCTCAGCGACCTCCTCATCTTCCATCTTACTCGCCGCTTTCCCTCCTCCCCCACCCCTCCCCGCGCCTGCGCCCTGAAGCGCGCCGCCGTCGCGGGCGCGGGCACGCAAGGCTTTCCTCAATGGACCCCGCCCCCTGCCTTACCCGGAAGCGGCCCCGGGCACTGGCCCACGAGTACCGGGGCTGCCATCTTGGAAGAGGGCGGGGAAGCTCGGAAGCTGCCATCTTTCTTAAGGGTAATGCGTTCTCGCTTTTACGGAGTTGGGAGTCCCAGGCGCCGTCTGTAGTCCGGAAAGTGAATTCTTTGGAACCATCTTTGCTACGGGCAGGCAATTACTGACAATTCTTGTTTTTTAAAATGAGTCGTAGTTTTCCCAAACTGCAGATGGTCGTTTCTTCAGAACTCTGAAAACATTTTTATACCTCAGCAAATGATGAAAAATACCTGTTGATGCATAAAACCGCTCACCATTTCTGTCTGATGGGGTGAAAATGGTCGCAGGATTTCCTGCTTGTAAAGCAATAGTTGAATCATTTATTATCGTTACTTTGTATCACTCACTGCAATGTAAAACTGCTACAGTTAGTTGACATTATTGCACCTGAACTGGGACAACCAATGGGAGTCCCAGCTGCTACAGTTCTCCTGGATCTCAGCAGTTTCTATGAAATTATGCATGTGGTGTAGCGCTGTGATGTAGCAGGTGAAGCCGCCACTTGTAGTGCTGGCATCCCATACAAACGCTGGTTCAAGTCCCGGCTGCTCCACTTCCAGCTCTCTGCTAATGTGCCTGGGAAAGCAGTGGAAGACGGCCCAAGTCCTTGGGCCCCTGCACCCAAATGGGAGACCCGGAATAAGCTCCTGGCTCCTGGCTTTGGCCTGGCCCCATCCCGGCTGTTGGAGCCCTTTGGAGAGTGAATCAGCGGATGGACAATCTCTGTAAAACCATTAAAGTTAAAGACTGTCAAAGGTCAACTTCAGGTGCTTCCAATTTCAACAAGTTGCCTCATCTTACGCAAGTTTCTAAAGATTTCTGTATCTCAGTTGCCCTAAGAGTTAAAGACAGAGATGGTATTTGTAGCTATTTCAAAGGTACACTGTAAGGATTAAATGAATTACTCTGCCGAATAGCCTAGAATCCGTCTGACCCCTGGTAAAAGTTCTAAAGGGTTAGCTGTTATCATCATGGGGGTTTTCTTGCCTGCACGAGGACTATTTATAAACATATTTCACCTCTCTAGTCATTCTTTCTTTCCCAAAACACCAAAGCAAAAGGGGGAAAAAGCAAACACTCACACTGACACGGTCCTGTAGTCCTCTCGGTATAAAAAACACATCATTCACTAGTGTTACATGTTAGATGCGATAATCAGTTTATCCAACATGGAGTGTGTCTTGCTCATGTTTCTAGCATACCATTAATCTTTCTGAAGTGACCACTTCCTGCTGTGACAATTTGCAATTTGTATGGCTAATGATTATTATGAATTCCAAGCATGTGTCCAATGTGACTGGTCTTTATTTAGAAGTTAAAGTGGCAAGTTGGCTAGTCTTCTGCTCTCTTGACTTCCTGTTTCTGAAATACAGTGTTTGTCCACTTTTCTTACCTAGATGTTTGTGGAGGAAACCACTCCCTGTATGCTGAAGATCCCCAGAGTTGATTGCCAGCCCTGGACCAGCCTGGCGTGTCCAGTTCACATGGCTAGGCTTTCACTGGCATCTCCACGTGGACATCCCATGAGCAGCTCAATTCTGTTAACTACTAATTCTGTTAACTGCTTCACCATCTTCAAGGAGAAAAGATTTTGTTTTAGTCGCTCTCTGAGACTCTATGCATTTATTCTCCTATGAACCCATTCATTGAAGTGAATTATTCTGACTGAGTCTTGCTGGGTGAAATTGTTGGATATCAACCTAAACCTTATTTCTGAGGTCTGAGTCGTTTTTTTCCAAATATAAGACGCCTGGTAGTTCAGGCTGTGTAGTTACACCTGCTACCAGCAGAGGGAGATCGTTTCTTTCAATTTTGAAGGAGCCTCAACAAAGGCGTTGTTAGTTGAGCGTTTCTTGGACAGAATTTTCAAAGACCAGAACATCAGCGATCTTGGAAGGCATTTGAGGCTGCTTCAGAGGGAATAACTTTTCTTTCACCAAGTGGGCAATCAGGAGACCAGCCCTGATTAATGAGACAGCATCTGTCACGGAGCCAGTTCCTCTCTCTCTGTTTCCCCTTCTATAAAGTGCGGGATAGGACGAGTGAGCACCAAAATTTAGGATGTAGTGGCAGTTTCTCTCTCCAAGGGAAGAGCCATCCACAGGTGTTGGCAAGGACCGTAAAGCAGGAGCCTCTGCGTCCTGTGAGCTGTGGTACAGGCCCTGTACTCATTTGGTTCATGTGTTAGGAGCTCACAGGGGAGGGGCCTGCATCATGGCACAGCCTGGTTCGCTGTCAGCATCCTGTGGCACCTTGGGCATCCTGTACTAGAACACCAGTTCTAGCCCAGGCTGCTTGGTTCTGACCCTGTTCCCTGCTTATGGGCTTGGGAAGCGGTGGATGATGGCTCCGGTACTTGGGCCCCTGCCACGCCCATGGAAACCAAAGTGGAGTTCCTGGCTCCTGCCTTCATCCTGGCCCAGAGCTGGCTGTTGCTGCCATTCAGGGAATGAACCAGCTGATGGAACATCTTTGTCTCTCCCTCTATCTCGGTCACTGTGCATTTCAAATAAATAAAGCAAATCTTTTTTTCTAAGATTTATTTATTTTATTTGAAAGTCAGAGTTACACAGAGAGAGGAGAGGCAGAGAGAGAGAGAGGTCTTCCATTTAATGGTTCACTCCCCAATCGGCCACAATGGCTGGAGCTGTGCTGATCTGAAGCCAGGAGCCAGGAGCTTCTTCTGGGTCTCCCACGCGGGTACAGGGGCCCAAGGACTTGGGCCATTTTCTACTGCTTTCCCAGGCCATAGCAGAGAGCTGGATTGGAAGTGGAGCAGCCAGGTCTCGAACTGGCACCCATATGGGATGCCAGCACTTCAGGCCAGGGCGTTAACCCGCTGCACCACAGAGCTGGCCCCCCAAAATTTTTTTGAAAGAAGTACTCAATATGGTTGGTATACAACATAAAGCTGTCTGATATGTGATGGGAATGCAACAGCAAAGCCCCTAGTGAAAAAAATTTCTATTTATTGCACAAGCTGAGGTTTTTAAAACAGTTAAGAAATAAATGGCAGCTTACCAATATTTAAAATGTAGGTGACTTTTGACCCCGAGAATATCTATTGCCACTTTGTTTCTAATCACAAAAAACTGGACACAAGTAAAGGTTCATCACTACAAGATTTGTTTATAAGAAGTCATGGTGCATCTATGAAAGGGGTAAAATCCAGCTGTGAACAAAGTTAGACAATCCTGGTGCTGAGTGATTTTAAAGAACTATAGGTAAGTTTTTAAAAAAGCAAGCAATGAGCAGCGTGTGTCTATGCTGCTCTTGGTAAGTTGTGATTTATTTGTGAGTGTATCTAGCTCTGGAGAGATACAAGGAAGTTGTAACAGTAGTAGACCTGGTGGCAGGGAGAGGGTGGGGGTGGGGGCTGGTGGATGGACTTCATTTTTCTTACCTATTCCAAATAAGTAAAAACACAGGAGACGGATTTCAGTGGGGCATACTTTGGATGGACTCTGGGCGAGCATCGCGTGGAAACTGGTCAGGAAGGCTCCAGCCGCCTTGCTCGGCCTGGCTTCGTCCCTCCTCTCCAGCCACGTCCCATTCGGTCTTCACACCGCAGAGATGGTCCCGAAACACCACTGTGGACGCCTGGCCTCTCTGCCTGCCGTCACTGTGACCTAGGGGGTCACGTCCAGCCTTCGTCCTGGCATTCCAGGCTGTAAGTACCCTGGTCTCGGTTCTGTCGTGCCCCGGACTTTCGGAAGCAAGGTAGAGTTCCAGAGTAAGAGGGCGAGACCCTCTGGATCCGGGCCCTGCCTGTGATGGTGCTTCGGTGAGCTGTTTGACCCTCGTGTGCCTCCGCTTCTTCATCTGTGAAATGAGCACACTAACGGCACCTCCTTAGCCACTTAACACAAGTGCTGACAAGCATCAGCTGTGACTATTAGTGAAGCTCTGCTTCGGTCTTACTTTTGTGCATTTCACACTTTGTCATTTTATGTTGGCTTATTGTTTCTCATCCCTCTCTCCTAGTGGGCACTGGGACTATGACTCCAGGGAGTCATAGAACTTGGTAGTTTTATTTTATTTGTTATTTATTTATTTTTGAACTATGGAACGCTTCATGAATTTGCGTGTCATCCTTGTGTAGGGGCCATGCTAATCTTCTCTGTATTTTAGTATATGTGCTGCCGAAGTGAGCACATTTTTATTTTTCAGCCAGTTTATAATGCTTAACCGGATGAAAGGTTCCGATTTTGGCTCCTGCCCTGAGCTTGAGTGTGCCTGATCATTGTCCCATTTCTTTCTCTCTCTCTCTCTTTTTTTTTTAAAGATTTATTTATTTATTTATTTGAAAGTCAGAGTTACATAGAGAAAGGAAAGACGGAGAGGGAGAGGGAGAGATCTTCCATCCACTGGTTCACTCCCCCAGTTGGGCACAACAGCTGAGGATGCACTGATCTGAAGCCAGGAGCCAGGAGCTTCTTCTGGGTCTCCCACGCAGGTGCAGGGGCCCAAAGGACTTCGGTCATCTTCCACTGCTTTCCCAGGTCATAGCAGAGAACTGGATCAGAAGTGGAGCAGCCAGGACTAGAATCAGTGCCCATATGGGATGCTGGCACTGCAGGCGGCGGCTTTACCCACTATACCTCAGCGCTAGCCCCTGTAGTTTTATTTTAAAATACATTACCATACATAACACATGCTCTGGCATGTAGTATATATTCATTACATATTTGTTTACTG